TTTCCTTCTGAAGCACACTTATAGTTTTCTTCTGATTATCTATTGTTAAGCACGCTTCTTCCCACTTGGACAGTAGAAGCATGTATGATGTATCAAGATCTTCTTCAGACAGGTCTTTAGTACTGGACTCACCTTCAGACTCATATCGTCCAGAATAAGCCATCACAATGTTGGCAGTTTCTTCATCACTTTCATTATCAGAATCAGACCAAGTGAAAGAAAGTACCTTTTTCTATTTCTTTAGAAAGGTACGACATTCTGCCTTAATGTGTCCAAAGTCTTCACACTCAAAGCATTGAGTACCCTTGTCACCATTGGGTTTGTCTGCACAAGAGCCTATGATCTGGGGACTAATGTCGAACCTCTAATCTTGTACATTAACCTCCACTTTTTGTTCAAATATTTTAAGGAATTGTTGAACTTTTTACCAAGAAGAGCTATATCATCTAACAAGTTATCTGTTTTATATACTACTCAAGTCTTGTATTTCTTCAATAGCAATCACTTTCATTTCAAAATTCTTAGGCAATGATCTGAGAATTCTTAAAAACCTTCGAAGAACTCAACCTATCCACCTTCGTTTGTTTGCCTTCCAAAAATGTATATCCCTTCTTAATCAAAATGTTCTACTCAATTCTTCAACTCATTGATGGAATACTTTAAACTAAAGGAAAAAGGCACAGAATAACTCTATTGGTAGAAGAATTCGGAAAGATGTTAGATCTCACTCATGAAGATCTCATCGTCGAACCCGAAGACAAAGTAGACTAATACAACTACCGACTCGTTGCATCCTCTATCATGAAAGAGTCATCACCTATCATAATATATCCCTTCACTATTGGATATATTCTCCCTGAGAGTCGCATGATTCATTATGTGATCAATCACATTATATTTCCAAAGAAAATAAATTTCATCCTCATAACAAGTAATTGAATACATGATGAAGAAACATAAAGAAGAAGTATGTCTTCAATATGGAAATTTAGTCACAAATTTTTTGGAAGAAACTGGATACAACTTTGGAGATGACGAATTCAAAGAAGAGATGACTAAAATAGGAAATTTTGTCTTACCATCAATGAAGTTTGAGATCATAAATGGAAATATGATTGAGAAACCCTCCATCAAATAAGAAGAAAAGAAAAGTCAAAAGCCAATAAGTTCCCATAGAGATAGACAACTTGGATTACCCTCCTCCTTAACTACCTGCAATCAAAGGCATACTCAAAATTATAAGTGAGAAGATATATAATGACAAGATCGACTTCATAGTCTGACACTTCATTCCATACCAAACCTAACTACCACAAGACATATTCTTTTATGATGATCTTGATGTAGAATAATCTCACCTAGATGTCTAAGTGTGCTAAATTTCTTGTTATTTCCCGCTTTCTACAAAATTCAAATTCAGTCATTTCCATTCTTGTACTTTGAATTATAAGTATTTAGCTTCAATAAATAAGACAGAGTTTTCCCTTGCCTAATTGCTTATTTGTTTATATTTTTATTTCTCACAACGCATCTTTACTCGTCTTTTTGATTTTGACAAAGAGGAAGAAGTATACTCTTAGGGGGAGTAGAGTATACTCTCTAGTTAATTTATAGGAAGTTTAATTACTTCAAGCACATATGTGTTATTTTCTTTACCACCTCCCTTGAGAGATGTGTTGTCATCATAAAAAAGGGACAGAATGTGGAACATTGTTTTGCAAGTGGTATGTTTTTAACAAGGACATCTGTTTTAATTTTGATGATGACAACTTTTTTCTAATGATGAGAATTGATGATGAGAAGTCAAGCATAAGCGGTTAAGCGGTTAAATATGCAAACTAATGAATTAGGGTTTGTTGGACTTGACTATCCTAATATGGCAACCGAATAGAAATTAACTCAAGCCTCATATAAAGTAAACTCAAGCAAGTGTCTACAAGAAGGAAAGTATCTCACAAAGTCTTGAAGTACAAGAAAGCTTTGCCTTAATTAGTTTGAGTGAAAACTATATAATGCATAAGGGCGTTTTCGTAAAAGTGTTTGGCTAAATCATACACACACGAAAACATTTTTTAAACTGATTTTTCTCAAGAAAATACTTTCAAACATGTCTTGAAGTCGTGCCAGATGAGTTGGAAGTTGTTTGAAAAAAATTGGGCAAAATCTTGTTTTTGCCAATCGATTGGCACTTTATCCCAATCGATTGGGAGATTTTAAAAATGTGCCATAATCAATTAGAACAACATCTTAATGGTGGATAATGGCTAGATATCTTTTCTTTCCATTTTTAACTTGGTAATCAATTATAAAGGAGTCAACCAATCGATTGGGACATGTTGTCAATCGATTGACAAGTTTTAAAATGCATTTAAAACGATTTCCTTTTTAAGGTAACCTCTATTCTATAAATAGAGGTACCTTTCTTCATTTCAAAATATCCAGAATCGAGTTTCATTTCATACTTCTCTCTTTCTCTCTCTCTCTCTCTCTCTCTCTCTCTCTTTAAACTTTTCTTTTACTTTCTCTCACTAAGTTTTTAGCAGAAGTGCTTTTTGAGAAAGTATTTTTTGCGAAGTGACAACTTGTGATTGTGGAAGGGTAGATTTGTAAGTTTACCAAGAAAAATTTATTTATACCTTAGTTGAACATCTATCCAATTAGAGATTGTTTGTTTGGGTTAGAAGTTGAACCCATAAAAGCGTTGGTTTGGAGATTGTGTGATCAAGCCCTTGTTTAGGTTCGAAGGTTCAGCCCATTATAAAAAATTTCGTAGGTTCTTGGTTAGCCTGTTATAAAACCAAGCCAAGGTTAAAGCTTGTTTAGGTTTTTGGTTATCCTATGGTAAAACTAAGGTATAAGGTTCGAGATTAGCCTGGCATTAAAATCTCTCAATTTTTTTTGTTAGCATGTGGTAAAACCAAGGTTTAAGGTTTGTGAGCTCAATCTAATGTTAAAATATCGCAAAATTTGTTTAGTAACTTGAAGACTAACCACTCCAAGATTCTCGTGAAAAGGAGACTAACGGTTTCGATCTGTAAAAGTTTGTTTAGAAGTCTGAAGACTAACCACTCAAATATTCTCGTGGAAAGTAAACTAACCGCTTTGATCCTCCGTTCGAAAAGAAGACTCACTGCTTCGCTCTGTTGTTTATTGTTTGGTTGGAAGTCAACCTTAAACTTCATTTTTCCTTGTATAAGGAGGATTCGTGAGTATAAACTACTAGAAGCTCTCATGTTTATTGGATACTCTCAAGATCAATTCTTGGGGAGGGGAGTACATCTTTTTCTTTGTTTGAATAAACCTTTATAATTCTCAGTGTTCTCTATTTTCCCTAAACTCTTTACTTTCTGAACTTTATATTTTGCAAATTTTATTTTTTTCGTTGCTTAAAATTAAAACAGCTTTTAAAATATTTTTAAACTTTGATTCTAATCTGAAATTTATTTCAAAACCATATTTTTCGAAACCACGCAATTCACCCCCTCATGTGTGGGAAGTCACGTGTCCAACACCTACCACCCTAAGTTGTTATCAACCTACTAAGTCCTCGTAGTATCCCCTACCCCTGTAGGAATACCATGCACATCTGTACTTATTGACTAGCGTACACATCTTTACTCGCCTTTTTGATTTGATCAAAGGGGGAAGTATACTCTTAGGGAGAGTAGAGTATACTCTCTATTTAATTGACGATGAGTTTAACCACTCCAAATACGTTTTTATTTTTCTTTTATCACCTCCTTCTGAAATGAGTTATCATCATCAAATAGAGAGAAAATGTAGAACCATGTTTTGTAGGTTAGTAATCAAAGAGTTATTAAAAATGAATATGCTTTTGATGATGACAACTAAATATGTTCCGATGATAAAAACTAAAGTCAAGCACAAAGCGGTTAAAGATGCAAGCAGACTAAGTAGAGTTGATGAGCTCTATCCTTTAATACCTAAATGAAATATAAATCAAGCTTCATCGCCAAGTAAAACTCAAGTAAGTGTCTACAAGATTGAATCATCATACAAGTCTTAAAGTATTTGAAAACTCACCCTAATACGTCTGAGTGAATAAGTATTGTAAAAGCATAAGGGTTTCCTCGTAAAGTTATACGGCTAATCACACACACACTAAAACGAATTTTATAACTTATTTTTCTTAAATAAATACTCCTAAACATACCTTGAAATCATAGCAGATGAATTGGAAGTTGTCAAAAGAAAATATGGGAAATTTTTGTATTGGTCAATCGATTAACACTTATATCCAATCGGTTGGGTTGGGGAAAATGTGTCATAATCGTTTAGGACAATGCCTTAATGAATGACAATATCTATATATCTTGTCTTTCCTTTTTAACCTTGTTAATCGATTAATTTTATGTCAACTAATCGAATGGTGCATGATGTCAATCAATTGGCTCATTAATTTTGACTTCAAAAATTTTCCATTTTTGTGTCAACCTCTCTAGCCAGAGAAATAGAGGTCTCTTCCTACATTTGTTAACATCCAGAAACGTGAGCCCTCATATCTTACTCACTCACTCCAAAAACATGAGCTCTCACACCTCGTGTCTAGAAACGTGTCAATTTTTTTTTGTTTTAGATATTTTTATTATCAATAAAATTAATATTATTATTAGATTTCAACGATAGTATGTATCCTTTGTTATGGTTGCACCTTTCAATTCTTGTATCAACTTTACAAGAAGTACACATTCTTTAACTATAACTAAGTATAACTAAAGGCTAGTAAGTAAATCTAGTGAATGAATAAAAAACAAATTAAATAAGTAATGACTATAAATAAATGCAATAAAGGAAGAAAGTAAATAGCAAAAAATAAATCAAGATAGATGAATTTATATTTGTATTGGATTATTGTGTGTCATTAGCTCTCAAAAATCAATCAAATAAGTATTTTTAAGTCTTAATAATGTTTGTTATCATACACTAGATTGTCTTCTACATTTTTGAATCATTAATGCAAATCTTCCTTAACTAGCACTTCAATCCTCGAAACGTTTGAACCAATCACTAATGGTTCTAGCAAGGATTCTAGTATCACTCAAAGAAAGAGATTTAAGCCTTTGTGCAACAGCATCTGCGGGAGTATACAATTTACCTACTTGCCATCTTGGTTCCTGATCTCATTGTGTAACCACCAAGCAATGAAAAAGAAGCAAGACAAGAATTTAAATAAATGAAATTTAAGGCTTTTATATGAAGGATTTTGCAGAAAAGTTTTACCTGGATGCATGGTGTGATGTGGTTACCACTCAATTCTACTTTTTCTACCGTACCGCCGAACGACTCGACACGAGGTGTGAGTGTTTCTTCAAGAATATTTGTCTCGTCAATTGTGTCGGAGTTGAATTTCACCTGAAGAGACAAAAACAAAGACATCATCAGACACAGGTTGCGACTGCTGTCAACCTATCGAAATTATACTTTTGAGATATAGGGCATCGGACAAACCAATAATGTGTGTTTGACATTGTATGAAGTTTTAAAGCAATCACGATTTTCTGATGGTGTCGGCTTGAACTCTGAGACTCCTTGTGTAACCTGACAGAAATATATATACATATCAATAAGAAATTGTATACATACATATATAACCATAAACTTGTAAAAAGTGTGTTTTAAGCAACATCATGAAATTTTCCTTGCAAGACATGGATATCCATGCTCAAGTCGAGCTTTAGACTGAAGGTGTATCTGGTGTTTGACACCGACACATATGTTACAATCAATCATATGTCTACTTTATCAAATTATTACTTGTGTCTACGTGTTAGTGTCATGCTCGTGTCAGTGTTTCCCTTTAACGCATACTACTAGTTACTTATTGAAATAAATAGCATCATATAATCTCAAAAATCAAACGACAACATATACCTCATTAAATACTAAAGGCAGTTGATCAACAAATTTAGTTAAAGAATTCAGAACTTCCTGCTCGCTTTCCTGCAGAACTGACCCGACAGTATCCAGCATCATTTTCCATGCATCTCCTACACATGTTGGAGATGACATGCATAATCATTATAAAATATAGATACATAAATCCTTATACTTAATCTAACTTTAGAGGAGCCTGATCCAAAGTTAATATATTTCGTATTCTAACAAATTTAGCCATGACGACAAAGATGCTTCCTTTTGGAAAACATTGATAGTTGGACAAGCTAAGTAGATACCTACCTTGTGCATTTCTAGCTATTGACAGAATAGGATTTGCTTCCACAGCCGGCATCATCTGGCTGACTGCAGGACCCAACTGCAGGACATCAATGCGAAGTTTCAGATACCAATAGACATGAACAACTTATACTAATAAAGACTTAGTAAAATGAAAGTGGTAGCATACAACAAGTATGAAAGTTGTTAATACCTGCTCAAAGTAAGGAACCGCCTCTGTTGCTGGTCTGTTATTGTAAGCGATTACAGCATTTGCCTTTCATAAGAGATACATATCTTTTCATCACATTCCTTGAATTGATATTAACTATATAAGTTTTAATAAAGAAAATAAAATATGCTTTCAATAATCAAATTAGTTTAATACTCTCTTCGGTGTTCGTTTGAAATGCTAAAACACTTATGTGCATAGATAAATACAATCTTGTGTTGTATTCTAGCATAAGGAAAAATAACCGAACCTTGGGTAATTTCTCAGAAAATAAGCTTCCTGTGAGTACTTGAAGAAGTGCACCATTGCTACAAATTGAAAACAAAAAAGAATAAAATTGGTAAAGCCTGACACAGACACGGACATCAAACACTATAATGACACTACCGCTATATGTATAACGAAACAAGTCCGCTCAATTTCAACTCCCTAAGCGCCTGGAGGTTACTCCAAAAGGGACAGGCGAGCTCAGATCCACCTCAAGTGTTGTCAGAAGAGCTCGCCACTAGGGTTGAATGAGCGATCTCCCTTTACTATTTGATCAGCTCGGCATTAATTGGCTGGGCGACCTTTTCTGACAGTTTCGCCGACTCAACATTGAGTCAGATAAGGATTTACATACTTTAAACATCTAGACAAGACAGCCAATGCCGTTGATAGCACGTTGATCTCACTAAGAGAAAGGGACAGGGCCGTTAATGACCATAAAGTGACCATAATCACACAATTTGCTCAGGCATGTATATATATACACACACATAAAGAAAAAACTCTAGATGACATTCACAAATCATCAATAACTAGGATTTTGCCGATTCCACTGTCAGTAAAGCTACAATTAATGTACATTTCAAATACATACACTAACACGTCGACCATTAATAATTTCTAACCACGTGTTTGGTACACATTTTCAACCCAAAAGTGTCGATGACCCAATACTACGTACTAAACAAAACAATCCGCCTAAGGGCATACCTATGGCCAACAGAGAAAAGAGGAAGGTCTCCAAGCTGAGCAGGTGACAAATTGAATTGAGGCAACCCAGACGTGAGGATTGTATTCAAACAAGTATGAAATCTCTCATATACTTGTTTAGCAGCTTGAGAATGATCAAATGTCACATTGTAAGGCACCACAACAACCACAAACCCTTCCTTAGCCAATAACTCAATCAAATAGCTACAATTTGCAACAACAAAAAAATCACATAATAAAAAACTTCAAAATTATAAAACAACAATGAAAAAGAATCAAACTTTACACTGAAAAAACAAAAGGGTAAGAAAGAAAAGAAGAATAATACCCATAAGTAAGTTGAGGAATAGCTCCAATGAAAGCACCACCAATGAATTTGATTATAGCCCTAGGTTTGGTTGAAGTAGGTGGTGGAATCACAAGACAAGAATCTATGTTTGTGTAAATCTTGCTGTTGATTTTGCTTGAGTTTCTTCCAACATACATATCAGAAGCTATGTTAGTAGAAGCTGACACCATCTTAGAAGACATAGATTGAGGTTGAAATTGGAAACATTTGTTGAATAAACAACCATTTGGGTTTTGGTTTCTTAACCCATGAAACACAGACAGATACTTAGTATTCTTCGAAGATAATGTGATGTTGAAATTTGAGAAAGTTGCCATTTCCTTTGTGAAATGAAATCAACCAAGAACACTTTTGGGTTATGTAATTTTAAAGTGTTGCGGAAAATAAAGTTATAAATTAATTATTATTATTATTGGTCTATATGTGTTGAAGGTTAGGCCACGATTTTGAGTCTTCTCCATGTTCTTTGAAATTCTATGTCACACAAAAAAAAGAAATCCCATTTTATTGTATGGGTTATAATACAAATACGTTTTTTACTAGGCATTATTTTTCACTTTAAATTTTTATTTATAAATCTACTTTTTTATAAATAAAATTACCATACTCTCTACCAAATTATATTATTCAAAAATATACTTAGAGCACCAATATTATGGACAAAATTATAGTTGAGTATCATGAGTTCTCCCATTGATTAGAGGTTGTAAAATTGATAGCTACATATTAAAAACAAAATATTATCTTGAGCAATTTGTCATCATATATGACACAACTAAAAAAGTCAATACTAATTATAGTTATAAATAGTAGATTGCTCTTGGCCAAGATCTTTTAGGGTGAATAAGGAAATCAATCTTGATTAACATTGCAATACAATGTTCCAATATGAAACATCAAAGGAAATTCGAGATGAAGATGAAAGCCTAGCAAGGGTACATATAAAATCAAGAACAATCTATCTCAAATCAATATTTCATAATACTTTCAAATGAGAGATGGAGATGAACCAGACACTCATCAAAGTGAAAAATCTTGCTGATAAATTAAAGTTGACAGGATCACGAATCTCTAATTCAAACTTGATGATCCAAACATTGAATGGTTTGGTTGTTGAATATAATCCAACGGTGGTAAACCTATATAACCAAATCAACCTTAGTTGGGTTCATTTAGAAGCCTGAATATTAGCATTTGAAAGCAAAATATAACAATTGACAATTTCAGTATTTTCTTGATGAACACATCTACAAACTTTGCAAACAAAATTGATTCAAAAACAACAAGCCTAAAACACGAGGCAACTAGAAATGCTTTAACTTTAAAGGAGGTAGAGGAAAAGGTGTATAACAAGAGTGGACACACTGCATTGCAATGCTTTTATTGCTACGATAAGTCATACATATGCATAAATCATTATAATGAGAATAACAAACAAAGAAATCACAGTGTTTTCATAGTCTAAACCTAACATGGGTAGGACTATGAATGATACTTTAATAGTGGGTTTAGTAATTACGTGAATCATCAAAAATTAGGGTCGACTCGTTCGAACTATGGGTAACTTATAAAATACATAAATTAAGAACAAATAAATTTGTCATTTTAAAATGGATCGATTTCCTAAACTAACTCATAATGTTCATCCTTTTTCACCCACCAAATTTATGGTCCAATAAAGTCAGTACTCTTTTTTTTAGTCAAATCTACTCTCAGTCCACTGACGAGTAAAAATCCCCTTCAACCAATCCAGCCTATAATAAACACCCCTACAACTACGAACCTCTTCAAATGGCTCATCCAACAAAACACCCAACAAATCAATATGCAAAGTAATAGTAGAACCAGTGAAACCTCGTGTAGGGTTACAAAACTCTCCCTACACGGTAAATGAAAAAGACAAGAAACATCGTCCAATATAATGGTCATCTCGCCAAATGACATATCAAAGGGCGGTGTTTCTGAATGTCATATCTCTACAAAATATATAAAAGTTTAATTAATATGGATAATTTACTCATTTGAGCATATATCCAATAAAAATATGATAGATGTATTTCAATAATAAGATACATTAAAGACTTTTACAATGTCATTAAATAGAAGTACATCACTCTACTATGTTATATAAGTAATTTAGAATTTCAATCTAAATCTACGAAATACATAAGAGCTTAATTAATATGCATTGACAGTGTAAAATAATTTTACACTGACATCCAATAGAAATATATTAATCTGTCATATCATACCGTTAACTTAAAATTTACAGTCTGATGTGGTAGAATGCATGAGAATGATTGATTGATAATGTAATTCAATACATTATTATTATTATTTGATACGCGACTAAACCTAAATATTTGATACGTCCGCCCTGAGTTGTTCTGCATCCGGTGTGCCCCGTTCGGCAGTACCGCTCCTGCTCCCTTCACTCCCGTTTCTTGTTAAAGTACTATTTTTCGTTTTCAATTTCAGTAGCTTATATGTATATTTAATCCTGAGTTTTTGATGAGTAATGAGGATGTGTAAGAAATGTCCACAAGTTGAATATGAATATGGCTTAGATTTTCACATTGATTTCAGGTTTAGCCAAATTGTTCCCTTTTATATTTACAGAATAACATATGTGGGGTGGTAATTCAGGTTTTGCTATTCAAAAGTTTTTCCTTTTATAATAATGGAGCCTGGAAAATTTGACCCAAGAAACTCTGGAGAGTTGTTGAAGTACACTTCCTATCTATTTCTTTTTTCGAGGTTTTCGTGATGCGGTTTATCTGTTGCGACCTGTTTTTTAAATTGCTTTCTGTTCTATGTTTCTGGTGAATAGGCATATGGATAAGCAGAATGAGGTTCTTATGGAATCTTACATATCAATGTTGCTTTTTATCTTTTCCATCTAAGATCTAAAAGAGGGAAATCGTAATAATAGAATTAAATGATATGTTACTTTTTATCTATTCCATCTAAGAGAGCATGAATAATATATTCTTCATCAATTAAAGCCATTGGATTATAGCCCTTATGCATGTTCTGATTTGGTTATGTGACTTCAACAACCTCTCACAATATGCATCATGAAAAATAAATAAAATATCAATTGTAGTTCATGTGTGTCTAGTGATAAAGCTCTATATGTTGTAGCTTCAAATGATGATCTTGAAACAATGTTTTTCTCTTTACACGCCAAAAAAAATTGTTGCATCCAAAAAGAAGCAATGTCGAGAGGTCGAGCATCTTGTATCCATTCAACATCTTTGGTTTGCATCTAAGCACCCTAAAATTTGCAGCTCATTATCTATATAAAAATGCATTGGCTTAGGTTGTGTTTGAGATGTCTTATTACTTTGCAGGTTGCATTATAGTGTAATTTGGTAGAACCATGTATTAAACTACTTGGATTACAAAAGTGATTTCAAGATGAGTTGTGGGTAAATAAATCACTTTTCTAATCATCCTCCTATAAAGTTATTTAGAGTTTTAGAAGTGCAAATAAAGTGAAATCAATTGAAAATAAAATCTAAGATTGGCCGTAGAGTGTCTGAGCATGTGCCTCAAGTGCCTGACACACTCGTGGATATATTTTTAGACCATACATATATTTTTAAAGTTTATATTTGATTATTTGAATAAATTTAATTGAATTTTTTTAATCTTTATTTTTAATCTTTTCTATCTCTTTTTGTTGTCATTAGAATGATTTATGATTTTTAATTTAGAAAAGAAGTTCATCCTTTGAATGCTTACGAGTAAGAGTTTATGCGTCGGTAATCTAGGAATAAATATAAATACTTTAGACCATTTAAGATATTTTTGTTAGTGCTTTATTTTTATAAAAAGTTGTTAATATTTAAAATTTAACAACTTATTTTTATTAATACATAAATATAAATAAATAATATTTGTTAGAATTTATATCTATTTAACTCAATTAACTCATATCTCTATTATGTTTTATTTTATTTTATTTTTTAATTTTTTACATATATTAATGAAATTATTAAGGCTTAAATATATAATGCGAATTTCGGTTTATTCACATGTAAAAAAAAGTTTATTTTCTCTCTTAAAATGTCAAAATTTTATGTCTTTTGTCATGTAAACTTCAAAGTTACCCCCTGAAATATTATTTTTTAAGTTTTTTTTCCAGATTAAGTGTTCAAATTGCACATTTAGAGGATAAAATAATATATATATATATATATATATATATATATATATATATATATATATATATATATATATATATATATATATATATATATATATATATATATATATATATATATATATATATATATATATATATATATATATATATATATATATATATATATATATATATATATATATATATATATATATATATATATATATAGGGGGAATTCAAAAAATATATATTACAGAGGGTAAAGCGAAACACGCCTTGTAGAGAGTGTTGTATATTTAACCCAACTAATGAATATTGTTATCGTTAAACTAAATGGGTAAACTAAGATATTTTTTGTGGGCTCAAAGTGTTTTGTAGGATTTAAAAAATTTATAGTTGATTTAAGTAGTTTTTACTTTAATGATGGTTGTCTATAAGAAACCAAAACTTGACCCCACTATTTTCAAATATCATGTCATTACTTTGATGCTGTTGGAATATTTTATTAATTAAATAAATAATATTATAATATATTTCACATAGTTAACGTTAACTATATAGATAATGGGAACTAAATTTTAGTTTACTTAGATGCCATGTCAGCTCTACTATAATGCAAATTCTTTAATACTAACGTAAGCTATACAAAATTTTGGTTTAACAACTCTGCACTAAAGTTGTTCTTACTCACTCCGTTCCACAACGAGTAATCTATTTAGAATAATAAAATACCCTAAAATGAATGATCAATTTTAATTTACACAGCAAATTAATTACTTTTTTCATTTGTAGTCTTTAATTAATTACTTTTCTTATATTATTCTTAACTTTTTGTAATTTATTTGACCTTTTCTCTTTTTACGGAAAAATAACTAGGGGGTAATTTTGAAAAAAAAAAGACAATTAATACTATTTTGAAGTTTGAAATATCATTTAAAAGAAACAATTGTTTTTCTAAAAAGTGACATCTAAAATGGAATGTGGGAGGATAAGTTAAGTTATTCCACCCATCATTCTTGTTAATTCTTAACTTTGATTTTAAATTTAAAAAGAGATTAAATTTTTGTTAAGATTATGTTCTTTTCTTAAAGAGTTAGAATTTGTACATTAAAGAAAATGTTTGACAACTAAAAAGTACCAAAAATTTAGAGAATTACTTAGGGCACA